GCAGTAGCTCAAAAGAGGGAACAAATCCTTACAGCAAGAGTCATTCCCACCCCTTCCACACACAGAGTGGGCAACTTGGACATTGGCTACCCAAATGGGGGCGAGGGGCTACAAAGGCAAGAAGTGACTGGCTTACAAACTTTAAAGAGGGAACCTAGATCCAGAGGGCCTGGAGGAAGGTAGAATCTCCAGTGAGTAGTATGCAATCTGTCTAGGCGGGGCTGATGCAATGGAATGCAGACGGGTCTCTTGTGATACAATAGTGAATAATTGTTATCAAGACTGATTGTGAGGGTTGTAAATGTAAAGGTAGGTGTTTTATAGCAAGGAGGGGAGTGACTAACTTTCCAGTCTAGGAGCGGAGGTCCCTAGGACCATCAAAGGAGAAGAGCAGAGAGCGGGACCCTACCCAGAGAAGCAGTGATGCCTGAAATGGAGACAGAGATGATGATGTGGAGCAATGGAGTAGCTGGAGACTTTAGATCCAGAGAGGGAGAGCGACTGTGTGCTGAAGACCTAGGGAGTACGGCGACAAGGATTGCATGGAGGGGATTGTAACCATGGCAATGAGACAATATACAATAGAATGAATGCAAAATTAATGTTCTCCCATGTAAACTACCATATAATTCACAATAAAACATTTAAGGAAAAAAAAATTAAATTACAAGATAATGGAATTTTCCCATGAACTTTGTGAAATCGTTTTGTACATTTACCACACTAAAAAAATAATTAAAATGGAAAAAAAAAAAAAAAGAAAGGATGGGACTCATAAGTTTGCTGGGGGATAAAAAGAGATCATGCAAATCCTAGCAAATAGTAAACACTGTACAATGCTAGTTATTATTTATCATGAAACTAAGTAAATGCTTTTTTGAATACACACAGGTTTGTGGCCATGCATCACAGTTCATCACTAGATGGGAAAAGTAGACTTGATTATTCATCTTAAAGATAAAATGGCACAATCAAAAAGTCACATGCCTAGTATCAGTTAAGCACATTTAAAAAGAAAAGGTTATTTATAAAGTACAGTATTATAAAAGCATAATGAGACACTTACTGATATCGATCCTCTGTTCAATGGGTAAAGGACTGACTCGACTAACAAGTTTTGAGAGACATGTTGCTGCGAGAAGCTGGGCATATGATGTCTGTAATGAACAATAAGGTTTTACTTTTATTATTACAAATGAAATTAGAGTAATTTAAATGCTCTAATAGGAACTTTTCCTAAGCAATGATGGGACTTTTTCAGGTTTTCCAAACTGATTACAATTGGATAAAATACATACACACATGTGTAATACAATGTCTCATAAGGGTAAAATGCAGGTTGTTGTTGTGTTGTTGTTAAGTGTTGTCGAGTTGATTCTGACCCATAGCAACCCTGTATAGGGTGTTCGAGGAGCAGCTGGTGAGCTTGAACTGCCAACATTGCAGTTCAAACAGCTTTGCAGTCTGGCGCATTAACACACAGCGCCACACCAGGACTCCAAGGTGCAGGTAGCAGGCTCAAATAACAGCATGCATTCAGAGACATAAACTATAGTCAAGGTCAAATAAAATACTTTTACCATGGGCTACTGGATCAGGCTTCCAAAGCCCTCTTCAAATGCAACTAGTTGCACTTTGGTCTACTCATAATAGCCTTCTTTCAGTTCCTTTCAATAGCTTCCCCACACCACCTCTCAACTCCTTCAGTATCAAGTCTGACTATATTCTCTCTGTGTGCCTTGGAGTCAATTCCAATTCCTAGCCACCCTCTAGGATATGGCAGAAATGCCTCATACAGTTTCCTAGGCTGGAATCTTCACATAAGTGTATCATCAGCTCTTTTATTCTGTTGAGTGGCTGGTGGATTTGAACCACAGATCTTTGTTAGCAGCCTAGCACCTAACCACTGAACCACCACAGATCCTTAATTGTCTTAATAATGGCTTAAGGGTATATTTGAACTCTCTAAACATGTACTCAGTCTTCCAAATTCAGTTCAGCTGTTCACTCTTCACTCCTTGACCTCCAGAAATTTCTTGCAAAAATATCCTCTCTTTATCTTCTAGACAAGAGGTAAGCAAACTATAGCCCAAGGAGTGCTGGTATGGTGCTGTGGGTTAATGCGCCAGACTGTAAAGCCATCTGAACTGCAAGGTCAGCGGTTCGAGCTCACCAGCTGCTCCTTGGAAACCCTTTACAGGGCCGCTATGGGTCAGAACCGACTCGACAGCACTTAACAACAACAATAAGTACGGTTTTCACAATATCAAACAGCTGATAAAAACCAAAACAATATTTGTGATGTATTAAGTCCAAATTTCAGTGCATATAATGAAGTTTAAGAAGCCCTGGTAGGACAGTGGGTTACAAGGTGGGCTGTAAAACACAAGGCCAGCAGTTAGAATCTACCAGCTGCTCTGAGGAAGAAAAGTCAGGCTTTTTGCTCGTAAAGATTTATGGTCACAGAAACTCTATACAGGTTCACTGAGTCTGAATTGACCCCACAATATACAACCACTATACCCTCGGAAACCCTGTACAGGGTCGCTATGGGTCGGACCCGACTCGATGGCACTTAACAACAACAACAACAACAACCAACAACATAATGAACTTCATTAGAATCCACCATGTTCATTCATGTACATACTGTCTCAGGCTGCTTTTGCACTATAAAGGCAGAGGTGAATGGTTGAGACAGAGCACACAGGTGGGGCCCTCCTACCATTACTTAGTTCACTATACACTGTAGTGATGTAGCTAGAACTCGACAGCATCTACAGTTCATGATTATCACCAAGACATGGCATGTACTTTTTATTATTACCAGTGCTTATCTAGCACGTTGAAACAAGAGGAGAGAAAGACTGACCTCTTATTTTTAAGGCACAGTGGAGTATGAATTTCTTTATTGAATTACACAACAAGGTATTGTGCTTTTTATACAATGACACAACAGCTGTTGTAAAAGAATACAATATAGGTTGACAGTACCAGACTAAGCACTCATATTCCCAATTCATGGGAAAGCAACAGTGAGAAAACAGTGAAAATTAAAACAAAATACCTGTCACCAGAGAATTTCTTCACAAATATGAAATATGAAAATGAGGTTGCAACCAAAGTTTCCAAATGGGAACGAACAAACCTTCATTTGTGATCCATATGAGAAAAGTTATTTATCAATGGTGATTGAATCAAATCACTAGCATTTGATTGTAAAGAAAACAAACTTGTTTAAGAATACTAGTTTATCAGTGAGAATAAAAGCTTCAAGAGTGAGGACACTGGAACAACTTTAAAAGTCAATTTTAAAACAATGTAAAATATTTGGAAAGGTTATCTCCTTAGTTCTTAATGAGTGGACATGTTAATACCATTGCTGTTACTGAGACATTGCTTTCTGTCAAGAGTCATCTGATATCAGCAATGATATTCCTTGTTCCATGTCTTCAGAATCTGGCTCCAATTTCTATAGCAATGTATTGCTATAACTGTTTTTTAATTATATTCAGCAAAATTTTACCTGCATATGATACTAATGATATTATTCTATAATTTCCACATTATATTGGATCACTTTTAGAATAAGCATGAATATGGATCTCTCCAGTCCGCTTGCTAGGTAGCTATCTTCCAAATTTTCTTGGCATAAATAAGTGAGCACCACAAAAACTACATCAACCCAGAACTTGATTGGAACTTAATTCAACAGCAATTAGGAGGTTGTGGAATAATAGCCACCTGTCTGCGGATATTCATCAGCTACATGCTCAAATTTCTGATACAAGTAATTCTCAAACTGAGCACTGAGTGGCTTCTAGTTTGCTACCTCTGCTAGAGATTAAGATCCCCTATGAACTTAATTGAACATCAGCATAGTGATCCTGCTTGGTCAACTTAGAGCAGGTGGTGGTCTGGCAATGTCTTGCGTGTGGGGTCCCCACCCGGTCTCCTCCCTCCCTGCCTTCTTTGGATGGCAGCTGTTTATGCTGGACGTGTGGCCAGAGATGGGTAAGGATCACGTGGAACTTCAGCAACCTAAGACAGAGCCACTGCCATGTTGCAATGAGTTTCAATGACGGGTAAGACGGAGGAATTCACACTGACCGCCTAAGACAGGCAGCGTTCCTTAAACAAATAATAAATAAGGGGGAATCTGTGGCAGACCGTGCAGACCCGGTCAGGAGCTCAAGGTCCTGTGGGCCCAAGCGTTGCTGACCGTCCAAACCATAGGTGTTGAGAGCTGCAAACGCCATTACAAGATGGCGCCGACCTCAACTTCCTCCTTCTTGTTTCCTTGTCTTTCTCCACGTATGCTAATTAGGCGCTGAGCTCCACTCGCTGTATGCTAATTAGGCATCATTCTACCAACCAATCATGTAACCAATCATGTTCCGCCACGCCTTCCTTTGAGAGTATATATTCTCCTTCTACTCCCTTGCTCGTCGTCGTCCTCCACCACCGCTGAAAGAGCTGTAACCCTATAAGAGCTGTAACAATAAAACTACTGTCAGAAGAATCCTGCTTGTCGCGTCCTTTATCGGCGAAGGCGCGCGACACATAGGCTCTGAGGATCAGACTTTGGTCACCTAG